ACATCCTTCTGCTTCTTGTCTTTAGTTTTCACGTATTTTCTTCAGGAAGCATAGTTACACTATATTGCCATCCATGTTACCAACCAGATCATGTCTAACTGCCCCAAGCATCACTTGTCCCGTTCCTTTCCCTCAATAGTATTCCGACCGCCTCTGTCATCTGGAATTGCTCTATCCAACCATGATTTAGGATCTACTGTGTTGTCCTTTTGATGTCTCCAGGGTTGTATATCATTGCTTCGTAGAACCGATCTTTGGCTTGTCTCGAGAACTCAGCTCTACGATTTGACCATCGGGTGCAGGACGTAATCATATGCTTGAGATTCTGTGATTGGTAGCCACATAGACAGCCTGGACTTAATACTTCGGGTACTTTTCTTCTGTGTAAAAATGAGTTAAGCTCCGTGTGATCACTTCGTATTTGTACCGCCAAACTGCTTTAGGCCCTTATCAGGTTACGATGTAGAAAGAATGGTGAGCCTGGAAAACTCGGTTTTTGCCGTCCAGACTCTCTACTTTGGTAAAATTTGGCTGCTCTCCAAGTTTCGGGATCTGTAGTTGCTAACTGCCGAGGCTTCCGAGTTTGTTTCTGCTTGGCCCAAGATTTCGACCACTCTTGTTGTGCCATAACTTTCACTATCTCTGTATATGTCTTCTTGGTTTGTTGTTCACCGCAAATTCCCGTGAAGTTGGCAAGATCTATCCTCCTGTTAATTATTCGTATTACTTCTTCCCCTTTTTTGGGCAGCTTGACATTCCTAAAAACGGACCAGATTGTCTGCTGGACAGGTAAGTCCTTTGAGCGACCTACATATTGAGGCCTTTGTTGCTTCAAGAATATTTCGATGGGAAGGGTGGCTTTTTCGTGTCCAGCACTCTCGTGCTGGTGGACTTGTATGCTCCAGTGACAAATTTCAGGAAATTCCTCCGAATGCTTCTGAGAAGTCTAACTATTCTCTCTGGTATTTTTCACCCGGCCCAACCTCGGCCCAAATAGGTGACCCGCATGTTAGTGCCGGCCTCACAATCGTGCTGTATAGTATCTTCAACTTAAAAATTTGGCTCCCCACGTTGATTAAACTAGTTTAATGAGACCCTGAACCTGCATCTCTGCCTTCAGTTGAAGGCTTTTGATGTGAGCTCCCCAGCCCAGCTTAGGATCAGAGTAGATTCCGAGAACTCATAGAGAAGGCTGTGGGACTGTGGTATTTTTACAGGCTGCGCCTTACATCCATGTACTTGTGCCTATCTATGTAATAATCGCCAATGTTCGTTTATGGCATTATTAGTGATCGCCGATCTGACAGATACGAATCGTCGATAGATCACCACAAGAACGCGGATGATCACCAATCCGATGAATATTAACCTCCCCAGGGTCAGAGCTACATGTATATATGTCTTAGAGCCTAGATAGATACCATTTCCTAGATCGGTAGAAATGCATCAGCTGATAATTTTCAGGCGCGAATCTGAACTCTTGTCTCCTTGCCAACTGTTCACAGATTTGGTGTTGTCCCTCCAACTTTCGACAGTTTTCTTCGGTCGAGATTGACCTTGTCAGGATGTTAGTGTCATCTATAAATCCAACTGCTGTCGTAGTTCTAGTCTCAAACATCGGGAGAAGTGTGCTAACAAAAAAGAGAAAGAGTATTGGCGAGAGGGTTAAGCCTTGCGGTATCCCGGTGCTGGTAGATAATCGGTCCCCTTTGAATGATCCCAATATTATTGATATTTTTCTTACTCCGAGGAAGGACCTTATTCAGAGACTCATCCACTTTGTCATTCTTTTTTCCCTGAGATTATGAATGAGTCGTTCGTGTGACATATTTTCGAATGCCCCAGATATATCCAAGCTAAGGAGAGATGCCATCTCGTGGAGTGTGTATGCTATTTTTCCACAGGGTACAAGTGTGAGTAAATAGGGGGTCTAGGTATTCCACAAGAAGAGGAAGAGGGCACGTCGTGATCTGATCCGAGTACGGGCTCGATGTGGTCTTCACAAGGAAGAGATGGAATTTCTAGAATGAGGATAGTATTGAGAAGACGTTGCGTGAAGAAGGCAACTCGACTGGAGGCTACGCTTTATTATGTAAATGCTCGTAGTTCACTGTTACGTTACCTTTCCCTTCTCAGGCCTGCCAGATTTGTATGTTAATAGTAAACCATCATTCTAACCCCTGTTATTATTCTGTGAAATGCCACCATCTTTTTATCTTTGTCCCAGATTGTGTGTTTATGTTCTGTCAGTAGGTCGACTGCAGAAATTATAGATCTCTGTGTTCGAGCTCCCATCTATTTGTCGGGAAGGAGGTTGTGGTGTTCTGCTGCTTTAGTGAGGCAAACTGCTACTAATTTAATAATTGTTCGAGTATAGAGAAGACTTCGGAGTAAGAATTGCCTGAGAACGGAGAAGAAGTTCAGTTTGCTTAATTGACTAATAGACTACAGGTATTATGTTATATGTAGTGGAATTAACAAGGAAGAAAGGTTATCCGGAATCGACTCGACTGCAGAAATGAATGGGATCCTAGACCAGAAAAGAATTATTCACTGACTCAGTATACTGGGTCATGCAATAGAAAATATGAACAAACCAATGACTGGATTTGTTCGAGAAGAATGGGATTCAAGCAGACTCAAACGTTGAGTCCGATTGGATCAAAAGTATGGGCTCCTGCCTAAACTCAGAAATATAGTTCAGGCAAGATGCATGCAACCACATTGGTCGATAGAAAGAAAAGCAGGAAACTGTATTTCCAACAATAATTTGTAATTTAAAGACCACTATTTCAAATTTTTATTTGGACCGTAGATGGGCTTCAAGTTTCTTTCTACCTATGAGAAGCAACAAGTGGGCAGCAGGACAAGAATATGTCTCAAGACAAGACTTTCTGTCAAGGCCCGAATATTATATCTCGAGGCAGATTCATAACCCAAGATATCCAGCCATCCGCCACTAGCTACAGTATATAAGTACAAGATCATTTCCAGGATTGGCTTTATGATAGTAGTAATATTTGTTTTAGTGGAGGTATTTGCGCACAATTTAAATATAATAGTTTCCTAGAATTACGAAGATTTGGTTTAGGAGAAGTATTCACATACTATTGCCCAGATCAGTTCTGTAAAGAGACTGATAATTTAGCTTGGATATATAAATGGGATTATTGGTTCAGTGACAAGTCAGAGATTTAATTGCCCTGATTACAAGAAGTGGGCGAGATTACTTGGCTAGATCCTTAAATTCGCAGTTTATATCATTTTATTCTTTTGATCATAGTCCTCTTTAGTAACTCACTGCCTTTCATAATTAGTATCATCTTAATCTACAATATCCTACATCTGAGCATCCATTTTGAGGCTCAAATATCTTTTTTACACCTCAAAGACGTTAGATTCTACCCCTTTTAGATCTCTCTGTACGTTTCACAGCTAGATAATTGAATGCACTATAGATTTTTAAAAAATAGACACCGCGACGACACTTTTGGGCAACTGGCTGCAATCCTCTGATGTACAAAATATCGCTGCACATCCACTCAGCCGACGGACCAGTCCAGTTCATAAAAACGTACAAATTTGTATAAGTTTATAAACCTTCTTATGTGAATGGGTACTGGAATTTTAGGTTAAATGGGTTGGATGGCGCAGTGGTACACAATTTGAGACAGGAGAAAGCTGGTTCGACTGCTGTCAGATTCAGACACGACGGTCTCTCGCGGAGACATCGTGTACTTTAAGAGTTGCAAGCACACTCTGAAAACCATATACTGCTTCTCACGTTTTTCTTTACGGTGGATGTGCATGGAAGGATCTGTACACCGCAAGTATTGACCACGAGTAGTTTTTACAAATGATATATGGGTGTGTGTCTTCCAAACGTCAAGCTGAGCCATCTTACACAATACACATGTTTTCCGATGAAACCTGCATGGGCCAAATTGCGCCAAACCTGGATAATTTATCTATCTATTCAGATTACATAGAAGGCATGCATTTTGCAATCGACAAGTCTGGGTTGGAAAGGCTATCTATGAGTTATTTATCATCCATCGAAAACTCAACCTATCCTTATCATTTTTTGATAGAAAAACTTTAAACAACTCAATTTCCCCTCGATCTACACCTAACTTTCACTGCTCAAGAAGTTGGTAACATACTTCATTTAAAAAGTTTAATTATATTTCTGTGAAATTCCGTAACGAATCATCAACAATAAAAGACTGCTAAAAGTCCTGAGCGATTACATAGTAAATTAATAAGTATTTTTTTATATCTATAACACCTACCATTATCCCCAATTTAGCTTGATGGTCAAATACTGTTTTATGATTTTCAAGTTTCTTGATGAAAGGGAAAATAAATCAAATATTCAATAGAAAATGCTGCGGCGTATACCGATAAGCTGTTACTCGGCCCTTTTGAATGTATTATTTATGCTCTTATTGGTATGTGGTGCCTAAATCAAACTAACGTTTTCTTCTAAATAGCGTAATCTATTGCAAAAACGATTTCATTGGCATCGAGCATCGCATACTTTAGGATTGTTCGACAGCTCGAACCAATGCTAGTTAATCAAAATAAACGTGGGAGAGATACATGTGTCACGTAGCCTGTTACAACAGGATATTGGCTTACATGTAGGGGAGACCTGAGTAGTGAAGAAACCTTTAGAGTTTCGAGTGATGCAGCAGCAGCCCTCTAGCCAAACAGGAGGGTACCAGTTGGAATTAATGGAGAATCGAAGCCCGATGAAATTCGTAATGAGTGTTTGTTACGTCTTATTGTTTATAATCTAAGGGTCCGTGGCTGGCTTACACATGATTCTTCTTGGCAATATGCTAGATTATCCATGTGGAACATGTACAACTAGGCTTGCTAACATCAACTAAAACATTATTCTTTCACGGCCCGATAAACTGCGATACTCACAATTCTCTCTATCGGTAACATTTCTAGAACCACGCAACTTGTGCCTGCTGTAAGGGGCTGGGAAGATGGAAAATATTAGGGCCGTCTTCTTCAAGCCTGATCCTCAAGCACAAGTTAGTATTTTCAATCATGTGGCATCGTATCAACTGATATTTTTAGGTTCGAAAATGTAATCAACTTATCCGCCAGAATACTCGCAAGCTCGACCGCGATATTACTGCAATGAAGGTTGCTGAGAACAAGGCTAAATCATTGATCATACAAGCTAATCGCCGAGCTCAACGTAACCCCGCCCAAGCCAAGCAAGCTCAAAAAGATATCCGGATTTTTGCTCGAGAGCTTATTCGCACGCGGAAGCAGGCATCGAGATTAGCTACTTCAAAAGCTCAACTAAGCAGTGTCTCAATGCAGGTCAGTGAAGCATTTGCTGTTCGCAAAATAGACGGCAGTATCCGAAGCAGTATTGGAATCATGAAAGACATAAATAGCCTTGTTAGACTTCCAGAATTTACCGGCACAATGCAAGAACTAAGTCAAGAGCTGGTCAAGGCCGGGATCATCGAGGAAATGATTGGAGATAGTCTACCTGAAACTTTTGAAGAAGACGAAGAAGAGGTAGAGACTGAAGTTGACAAAGTACTCGGTGAGATTCTGGCCGATAAAATTAAGGTTGTCCCTTCGCCAGAGCTGCCTGTACCAGCAAAACCACAGGCTACAGCAGAAGAAGACGAAGAAGAGGACACGGAGGCAATGTTAGATCAAATGCGTGGGAGGTTAGAGGCTCTGAAGAGTTAACGAGTCTCAAGTATTCTTATTTTATAAATCTTGGAGTTTGGAGTTTGGATGTGGTGTAAATGCTTAAGGCATATTGAATATGTCATTCACGCAAAAAATTATACATATTTGTAAAGTTGGGAGATACTTAACAATCAGCGAGAATATTGCCAGGGCTAAAGAATATTTCTGGTTACCATTCTACAAGGAATATCGCCAAAGCAGGCTAAGTGAGATAGAATAACGTTGATGTGTTGGGAAACACGATATCACCTAAGTCATAGATACATATATCATGACTATATTCCATCAACTTCTAGTAAGTAAAATAATGATCACAACGAAGTTACTTTCACGAAACGCCACAATCTCTCACTGAGTTATTTCACCTTCTCTTTTTCTGGTCTACTTCCCCACGATCTCAAACCCAGTAGGGACTACGATTCAAACCTAACATTGAAAGCTCTGAGATTATGGTCTCAAAATGGTAATTCACAACTAGGTAATATTCTCTGATAGAATAAACTAGCGCTAATTACAGAATCATCTGTGTAAATATTTTGGGCTGATTTGGTGTTCATTTCATTAATTGAGTCAATGAATGCCTAACACATTGGACTCTTTTTGGGCCCAGGCCACATCTCGTACATTGATCAAATCCTGTGCTACGAAAATTATTCATCGGATATATTAGCCTTAGTCGATAACCATACGGTTCTGTTTTTGTCCGTATCATTCGGCAACATTTTCTACGGAGCCTTATCGAATTGAGGCGATGATGTAATCAAGCCATAATTTCAATGTAGCGTATTGGATCTCTAGCTCTAAAAAGACCAAAGTCAAACATACCGGGGTACACCTCATGGGCAAGATGTAGATCATCGACTGGGATATGGAACTTAGCGGACGCACATATGGACGCAGACACGAAGGCACCAGACCAGACTAACTTACATGCTAGAGGTGACAATGGATCACAGAGACAGGTACTAGGAGGGCAAGACTTAACACCTGTATGCGGTGTCCTCTACGAACCTGGGAGTGAGATATTCTCCCAGAGCCAGGTTCAGCCAATCTTCGCAATACCGAACAAGTTGGCCCACGAGGCAATGATTCAAAATACTACATCACGTTAATTTTCATTCCAGACGAGATTTTATTTTATTTTATTGAGGAAATAATGATCCTTCAGTCAATGAGGTTGTAGAGTGTGTTGATTCAATTAACTACCGAAGTGAAAGTAAATACAGAATTTGTAGTCACATGTGTATCGACAACGTGACCTACTTTATAGCCCCAATTATTCTAAATTCCAAGGGAAGCTGGATTTACTTCTTGGCTCCTCCCGTGGTGCAAAGCGTTTTTCTTCTTTTTTGGAGAAGACAAAGTTCCTTTCGGAAATTTGCCCGATTCGTGCCAATTGACTCAAGTCCATGTGAGAGTCCTGCTGTACAGCGCTCACAACACCTTGACAAATGCAGTTTTCAAGGCTTTCAGTCTCCCGATTTAGTGTTATATAGTTTAGTACGTAGTTGTCACCATGTCCCTCAAGAGATGGGGCCTTAGCCGTAGCTGAAGCCCGGTAGAACTTTAAAAATAAATAAATAAAATAAATAGATCATCATTTGGCCAAAAACGGCACCACGTTCCACGAACGTCACTTCATCGTTTTAATTATTGTTACCATCTTAATCGGCCCATCTCATCTGATTCCCCGAATTTTTTCGTTGCGCATCGGCATGGCGAGTTGGAGGACTGGAAAGGTGGATTTCACGGCTGGAAAATTTTCACAGCACCACCAAAAATCATCAATGGATAGCAGAATAGTCGCAATAATGCTTGTAGAATCTCTCGCGAATTCTACTGGCATGAAATTGGATAAACTAAAAATAACAGCCTATTATCTAAACAAGGTTAGAGATAGACTGGCGATTGCAAGAACTGACAGATCTGCGACACCAATGGTCGAGATAGATGAGGTACTTGACGCATTCGTAGCCCACGCTAAGATGCTCCGATCAAAGCTGACGGCTAATCCTATGGAATAAAGAATGTTAGCCTTAGAGAAGGTCGTAAAGGAGAGTCTCAAAAAGCCGGTCTGCAAGACTGAACCACAATCAGCGCAAACTATGGGAGGACGACCCACGTACGCCTCGATCTTCGCGCCGCCAGCAACCAAAGTGGCAGTACGGATTTGAGTAGAAGGAGCAAACAAGATGCAGCCGACAGAGCTGCTTAACAAGGCAAAGCTACACATAAATGGGGTATACGACGTGAGGCAACTAAGGAGCAATGATACTGAGGTTTTCGTGCAGTCAGTCTCCCAGCGAGACGCTGCCTTTAGGATGGCGCAGTCCAAAGAGTTCTGCGTCCTAAAACAGGATTACCCTGTTGAAATCTTGGGAGTCCCACTGAAGATAATAATTCACGGAGAAAAGAATGCCAACAATAGCGTGGCAATATTTAAAATGATGACGGAGACAAAAGCATGGATTCCAGGCATACAAATCAACAGGGTGAGGTGGCTTTACGACGGCAAAGAGCACCAATGGATGGAAAAGAACGGCCATATTCGAGGGTCGGTAATCGCAAGCCTATCGACAGAGGCCCTACAGCGCGCAGTGATTCGAAATGGTATTGTAATGGATTAAATACTATACACGGCCCAGCTCTGGTCACCCCGGGCACAAGTCAAGCAGTGCTTTAACTGCAGCTAATGGGGACATACCCAAGCTTCCTGCAATAAGGCAAGGAAATGTGGAGGTTGTGCGGGCACCCATCAGACCAGAGACTGTCCGAAAAAGTCGGCGCTTTGCTGCAACTGTGGCAAGGCTCACTTATCGTGGCAGAATAGGGCGTGTCCAAGCTTCGCGGCATACAAGGCCAATGTTCAGCGGGCACGGTATGGTCTCATGGAGAGAACGGCCGAACTAAGAAGGGAGAGCGAAATACAAACGGAGTTACCTCAATTAAGAACTGTAAACATGCCAGACGACCATGGGTTTACGCTAGTGTTCAACCAAAAGCCAGAGGGCGTCAAGAGAGGGCCGGGACGTCCGCGAAAACAAGTACTGGTCCCAGCCTCGACATAACAACTATTTGCGCCATCGGGGTCGAACTCAAGACCACAGTCATCACTTTTCCGCAAGCGAGGGCAGGATAAAGATAGCTAGGTATACTTTAGCTAGTTCTGTCTCGGTGTTACAGGCTATTGCCTTGTAGATGGGATCCTGAGTTTATCCGGCTCCTAGGAGTTGATTATGTCAGCGATAAGCGAGACAACATCTAGGGGGTAATCCCACAAGTATGTAGTTTTTCTCTTTAGACACAAAATAAACCCATTTTGGATACACTCGTGCGGACAGCTATTCACTCTGGTGCCATCCTTTCACACTCGGACTAACGACCATTTGCACTTACTGTAGGTAACAAAGTACTGTAGATATATAAAACTTTAAAGGGGGAGGGGGTTTTTATCGTAAGGGTTTCTGCCTCATGTAAATATTAGAATTCGTAGATACCTGCATGGGCCCATAGGGCGCCAAATCGGGCTAAATGAAATCAAATTCAAAATAAAATAAATAAATATTCTAAATTCCAACATTTATCATATTTGCGATATGTAGTCAAGTACCAATAGCGATACGGTACACAATAGCGTCAGATTTCGAGCATAAATTTTCGCTATCACGATCGATTAGATTATCATCTGATATTGGTGTACTCACACCTTTACAGTGGATCATACCCATATCTACACAAAGGACATTGAATTTGTCTTACCGATTGATACGTAAACCTTCAAAATCTTTTTGGATGTTGATGCCTAGACATTTGGTCATGTCACCGAGATCTTTAGTCTGAAAGCTTTACTAGATGATATAATAGCTTCATCAATTTTAAAGCGAGATGCTGATATGATCATGAAGTCATCGACATATGTAGAGATTATTGTTTCAGTACGATGAAATGCATTCGAGTCGGCTTTAATTGGATGCAATCTCATTTGATGGAGGACTTGTTGAACCTTAAGCTGCCATCGTTTAGGTGCCGTTTTCAGGCCGTAGATAGCCTTTTGTAACTTGCATACTGAATCTCTCGACTGTTTACGACCATGAGGCTATTCAATTTACATGGGTCGATCAGTATCGATGTGAAGAAACGTAACCGTAGTATCCATATGACGGATGTGAAGACCATTGGTGTCTGCAAAGGGTAGTAGGATACGCATCGGAGGGCAAGACTGAACACCTGTACGCGGTGTCCTCTACGAACCTGGGAGTGAAATATACTCCCAGAGCAAAGTTCAGTCAAATTTCGCAATATCAAAGAAGTTGGCCTACGAGGCAAAAATCCAAATTACCCATCCACGTCGTTATTTCGCTCCCAACGAGTTTGACACCTATCTTCGTCTCATCGAGTCTACAAGTACGACCTAGTACATCCTCATTCCAATGACCACACCACTCTTCGACCTTCTCTGGCCTTAGCTGGTCGCCAGATACACGCCCACGCCGATATTTATACCCGACGGAGGAAGGAGAGCGTGGCGCACAAATCTGGGAGACAGTTCTTTGGGATGGATGTGAGAGGTATCTGGACAAGTTGACAATATGATGCGAAGGACGCATATAACCTCGAAGGGCATGAGATTCCGAATTTTGGCAAGGAGATTTTCGAATTGGGCCTTATGCGCGCCAAGACTTCGCTTGCGAGAGTGCAGCTGACACTATAAAAATAAGCAAACGATGGAAGGTGCTGTGATCCGCCTCCTGGTGGTGTTCTCCGGTATGGTTTGAGTAGCCTGGGCACCTACTCCACTTGGGAAGGAGATATCTCAGACCATATTTCGCGCGGAGAAAAGTTGAAAGATGATGGAGGCATGTCTGGATAACTCAGGGTTTTTGAGAAGTTCCCCTGAGTGGGTATTCACGGATGAGGGTTGACTTGGGGTGAAGAAAAAGCCGCCATAACTTCGCAGTGGTACTTGCAAATGAAATCTGAGGCATGAGTGCTCTTCC